GTTGTGCTGCCCTCTGGCATTGTGCCCTCTCTTCCCCAAGAAATGCAGACATCGCCTTAATGGCACTAAAGTAGCTGCTTTATAGAAACACATATATTTAAATAATGCTAAGCAGCTTCTTTCATTTCAGGTCCCCCTCTACAAATCTGTATAATTTACCAAGCTGCTGATTCTCTGTACAGAATTTAACTTTAGAAATCCACCTCAATACAATATATGTCTGCAGCGTCTTGGCAAAGTTATTCACAATGTATAAACTGAAATGCTGGGTGTTTTCTCACTGAGGAAGGGTGTATTTATCTCCAAGGAGTTGTCACCAAACTTCCAAAACCAGAAAATGACTAATGACTAACGTTGGTTTATTTAACTCACACTGTTGTGCTCCTACATTATTATTCTTGTGATTCAGGGGTGTTGCTTTCTATCCTGGGATTTGCTGATGCACATTTCTTTCATGTTGGCTCCACACCAATAGTTTCACTCACCCAAACTCTCCACAGAATTCAGTGAGAATTTTCCCAGCCTCAGGCTGCAAGAGTCAATCTCTGGCATTATTCAAATGAGGAGGGTTGAATCGTGTTGCTTTTTTAATATTACTATACATTCAGGAATCCACAATACATTTCTCTGTTCAAACACTTATCAAAACAAATATCAAAAATCATATACACTGTACAGTCTATTTTTAAGTAAACATTTTTCTCATGAAAAACAGAATCACAATTGGCCTTTAGAGGTTACATTTTTGTATGCTATAGACCTACTTTGTTCTTAAAGTGTGCTGTTGCATATTCAGTAATCTGTGAGAAATGCATTCGCTTGAAAGTCTTATGAGTGTAAGTAAATATCAGCGAGGATTTAGCCATTTCATTACCGGAGAGCGAATAGCTTTCTCCTTAACGAATTCCTCTTTTACAGAATTGCCATCCCCTGATGCCATGTCATTCTCTGAAAATATAAAAAAATAAAGGTGGATTTCATGAAAACGACAGAATTAAAATATTTTCCCGCAGCAATGTCCCTGGTTTTGGGAACACTTCAGAAAAACATTAGCTGACAAACCTTGCAGCAATCTTCCTGAATGCCTCCAATTATCTAGTTGCAAAATTTCTGCCAAATTATGGCATAAGCCAGATGTGTTTTCTAATAGTTCAAGCATAAGGCAGGTGATTTGATTTCAGTTTCCAGTTCTCACTGTAACACTCCAGTGTGACATGCGACCAAGCAGCACATCCTCAATAACTACAGCAGTAAATTAAACATGCCTGGAGCTATTCTCTGACTGAGGCCAGCTGGCGTGGAATAGCCTGGTGCATGCCACGAAAATCTCTTACTCTCCAAAAAAAAAGATAAAAGATATCCAGTTTGTCTACTGGAAGTGGTCCCTGGCTGACGCTGATTCCTAAGCTGTGGCTGAGGTTGTTTGGCATGGCTAGCTAGGCTGGGACACAGCATGCCAGCTGCTGCCCTACTGTTTGACCATGAAGGTGGTCAAATTGCAATACACAGGAACACGCTCTGGCACCATCAAATTTACTAGGGTATATGTAGCCATAATATCTTTATAAAATATACAGGCCAGAAACTCACCTGTTTAAAATACAGAAACATTCACAGCTGTTTTAACTCACTGAGGATCTGTCCTAGATGCTAGAGCTACCTCTGAAGACCGCTATTAAATGAAACCCTGACCATCCCATGCAGTACTACCCACAGTGTCCCTGGTCTGCTTCCAGTGGCAGACCTCTGAGGACAGAAATCAGTGTGAAACATTTGCATGGGTGAAAAATAGCATTTGTTTCTATGGGGTCAGGATCTCATCCTGGCTGGGATCAGACAAGCTGCTAAACTTTGAGGCAGCAGAAGGTTTGGGACCAAAGGCAAGGGAGGGAGAGGAAAGGGGAGGAGGAACTGATGAAAAAAGGCTACCTGGGAAGATTTGGAAAATAGGCTAGGTACAGAAAAAAGCAAGACAGGAATATTTGTTTCATATTATTTCAGCACCCTTGGTAATAAAGAAAACCTGGAAAGGCAAAAGAGCACAATCATGTAGAAAAATACAAAAGGATCAGAAGAGATCCATCTCACAAAGTTTTTTTAAAGATCAATTTAAATGTGGTATGAGCATAAGCTGATGAAGTTTGCTTCTGTCTAACTTTCTCTAAACAGAGAATCAGAGAAAGATAATGCATGTATTAAGGTGGCAAACTCTAGATAGCTTAATATAACAAGAGAAAATCAAGGCACACAAACTGCACTTGGAGGAGAAATAAAATTCAGAGACTTTTGGGTCAAATCCTAGAAAAGTTCCCAGTAGGTCTAGGATTAAATTTCTGATACTTATTTAAAATCTTTACATTTGTGTTGATTTTGATTTTTGTTTAAATTTAAAGTAAACATTGTTCAGTCAAATATACCTTAGTATTATCAGGTCCAGAATAAAAAGGGAAGAAATTTTAATCCCAGCTTTAAAAACTTCAGTGATCTCTCCTTCCTGCCTCAAAAACACTCTAGTTTCTCACAAGCCTTTTTTTTAATTCTGGAAAGATCTGTTACAGGCTTCAGGCATAATCTTAAAGGTAAGAACTTATTCCAGAGATACTGTGATAAATGACTACAATAAAACATTTTCATAAAACAGTTCACTGAAATCTGAAAATGTATAAAGCTCTGTCTTCATGGAAAAAAGATGTTATTTTTTACCACATATTAGCTAACAGTAGTAAGTGCAACCTAGTGAAATCCTGTTCTACACAAAGCAGCTACATGCATCACATCTGAACTGACTAAGGCAAATCCTAGTGTAGCATCCCATTGCACAGGTGACATTGTACTGCTAGCACACACAACAGCTGCAAAGTATTTTGCCCATGTTTGGATTTCAAAATGTTTTTACCATGTCTCACAGCTCACCTAATTTCTTGCCTTATGTTAAGGGGGCTGCCAATAAGAAAAATAAATGTACCTTGGGTTGTTAGCTGTTTGCATAGCTCCACCAAAGTACACATCACTCGCACACAGTGTACACAGTGTGGTAGTAGATCATGTACAAGGTGATTTCTGCTAACATCAACTGCCCCACAAAGTCTTACCTGTGTGTGAAACTATTTTTCGTCGATTTGGAGGCTTTGAAGCAGACAGTTGAAAAAATGGGAACTTCAAACACTTCCCGGTTACTCTGTCACAGATGCCTGAGGGACAGTTGCAGGTTTTCCTGCATTCCATTCCATAGGTACCATAGGGACACTCTGAAAAAAAGTAATAGAGCAAAGCAGTCCTCAGTGATCCAAGTCAGCTGCCAGCACTCTTAATAGCTGGTCTGCTTATATCCTTAAAAATCAAAAACTTTTGAGTGGTCAGCTAAACCTTCACTACAGGATTTCAGCATGCCAACTGCTTGGTACTAGTATTTTCCATTTTTTACAAACTTTGACATACATTATATATATGATTTCTTTTCCTATAACTTATTTACAGTGTGCTATCAGTAATCCTTCTCTGAAACACTCATAGTATTAAAATGCAAATTAAAAGCACTATGAATATGTAAGCATGTAATCATAGAGGATGTAGTTAAAGGAGTAGCACTGGATTTAGAAAAGAAGACACCAGAAAGTTCCTGAGTTCACTATTTGGGTATGATATTATCTAACTTACATGACCGTCATAATTTAGAGCTGCAATCTATCGCTGGCACCGGGCTGCTTGTGGCTGGGGCCACTGTGCGTAGGCTCGGTGGAGGCTGCCGCCCTGACCCTGAGGAGCTATCCAGCAAATGCATCCTCCACCTGGAGACGTTCCCAGCTCTTGGGAAAGAGCCTTCCCCTGTGCAACAACTTCTCAGACAGCAAAGGTCTGCCTTCCCATGGCAGCCAGCAAAATGCTCACCAGCCTAAAAAGTGAGTATGCTCTAAAGGGATCACTGGCACTAAGGTGGCTGCCTAGTTGTACTGCATCGGGTCACACACTGCCCTGATTGAAATCTCCCATCCCTGAGCAAGGTCATAGAGGAGCACCAAACGGCAGCTGTCAGGATGGGACCAAATGTTTTTCAAAAAAAATTAAGCCAGGTGCAGAGGATTTGCCCCATCCCGTAGCTGGCACATATCACGTGCTGGATCACATAACTTCCCGGGGGCTTTAACCCTGGGGTCACAGCCCTTGTCTTCCTCTGCCTTGCTGTTGAACAGGGTACCTTACCAGGACCATAGCTGAAGAGATGGAGACAAGGAAAACCCAGCTCCAGCCATCCCCTTTCCAAACCCCCAAACAAGAGATCATCCCAAGAGAAATTTGGGATGTCCCAGGAGAAAGGTCTTTATGCTCAGGCTGTCCTTGCCAACCCAGAGTGCATGGTCACCTTAAATGGCAGGTCCTGGAGAGTTTCCAGTTCAGCTTCTAAGGGAAGACGAATGGCCACTCAGGGCTGGACCAAGGATCCATCCAGCCCAGGCTCCCACGAAACACTTAAGGAAGATGACCATGGTAAGTACAAATGATACCTCCCCCCTCATACTCTCCCCCATTTTCAGCTCTGGGACCCCCTGAGCCAGGCATAGTTTCTGTGTTTCATAGTTTTCTGTGCATATAACACCCCACAACAGGGTTATGCTTCTCAGTTTGTCTGGTTTCCTCTTGAATCAATGCAAATATTTAGTTTCACCATACAGCCTAGGCTATCTGAAAATCAGGCTAATGCCCCAAAATGAAACCATTTTACAATTCTCTGCATGCCCAATGGGTATACTTTTGTAAATTAAAAGCACGGGAAAATCAACCAATTCCCTGCTAGGGCCTGCACAGTGAATCCCTGCAGGCTGGAGGACCTCACTGAGCTTCACCATACTCCCCTTTTTTTCCCCAAGCAAGGACCCTCTTTCATCTGCTGTTTGTCCACATAAAGCAAAAACAAAATCCTGCCAAAGCAAAACAGTTTTTGTGTGCACAATCCTCCCTGAGGGACAAGCTGAGAGCACACACCACATGGAGCATCAATCTGCCTGCTGCAGGTGCCCAGCTGCTCAGCCCAGAGAGGTGGGATGCAAAGCTGTGCACAACAGCGTGGAAACAAGTCTGAGCCCAAAGCGCTTGGCTCAGTGTGGAATAATCCTGGCATTGACGCTGCTCTTCAGATTTGACAAAACTGAGATCTGAGTAAATTTTACTGTTAGAAGATTTTGTT